CAACAGAGAGTTTTTTAAAAATAATAACAAAAGCAGTAATATTTTATTTGAATAAGATTACACACATGCAAAATAGACTATGTTAAGAAAATAAACCATGTTCAAAGGAAAAATAAAATTCAGTAAGTAGCAACTTGAAGTATAAGTCCTAATACACTGACCTAATTCAGAAGCAAAGGGATGCCCTGTGGTCAGGACTCCAGCTATCTGCATGGTTCCTGTATGCATCATGCAGGCATGCACTCCTCAGGTGCACATTGAGGGTCTCTGGGCCACAGGCTATGACACAAGCACTGAAGGTTCAGGGGAAAACAAAGCAGAGCCAGACCAGAATTTTCTCTGCATCCGTTTTCTGAAATTTCGCAATTATAAAAATACTTGGAATAAGTCTTTTCTCAGTCATTATTTTGGGATTTGGCTGGCTTTTTATTTTACTTGTATCCACATGTTCTCAAGCTCTGGAACCCTTACTCTTATTATTCCCTGATAATTATATCTCTTCATATTCCCCACCCCCACCCTCTTTTTGGAGCTCCTATTGTTCAGGAAATTAATTGCTTGAATTATTTATATAATATTAGCTTTTTTCCTTATATTTCCATTTCTTTGTCTTTGGCTTTGGGGAGGAGATTTTTACTAAATTCCTCCATAGAAAGTTTTTTAAACATTTATTTTAATTTTTAAAATTCATATGTTTAATTCAAGAGTGTTTTGTTTGTTTCACAATTGTTCCCTCTATAACATCTTGGCATTGTTTTACTGGTGCTTTTTTTTTTTTTTTTTTGCATTTGAAAGATATTGAATTTATAATTATTTTTTAAATTTTAAAAATCAAATTTATTGGGATTTTTAATTTTTTTCTTTGCTATATATATATATGTATATATATATATATATATTCCCTTTTTGATGCTTTATTTTTTTCTGTTATATCTTTTTTTAATTGATTAAGGTATTACATATGTGTCATCCCCCCATTGTTCCCCCACCCCCCACTCATGCCCTCACCCTCCTAGTGTCTGTGTCCATTGAACAGAGACTTTTTCAAAGCAGACAAGGGACCCATGGGACTATTTGGAGTTTTGGGCATAGAGTCTAAGTGTTAGGCTAGCTGCTAAGTGGGCACAAAGCTTGCCCCTTGTTCATGCAAGTTATGGTGATTGCTATACAATTTTTAAGTTAACAAGTCTTGAACAATCACTTATTTCACCAATGAAAAATTATTTCTAATATACCTTATAATTATTCATTGAACTTTCTGGTGAAATTTTTAATAAAGATATCTGATGCTGCTTATCAGCCACATCTGGAGTGTATGTTCCTGACCAGTATAATTTAAATACTAATTAACCACTCTTAATGAAATATTAAAGTGTAGATACATTCATCACAGTATTTATAATGAAGTTTTAAAAAGTTAATTCCTGCCTGGCCAGTATTGCTCAGTGGTTGAACATAAAATCAGGAGGTAAGGTTTGATTCCCCACCAGGGCACATGCCCAGGTTGTGGGCTTAATCCCCAGTAGAGGGCATTCAGGAAGCAGCCCATCAGTGATTCTCTCTCATCACTGATGTTTCTATCCTTCTCTCCTTCTCCCTTCCTCTCCCTGAAATAAATAAAAATCCTATGTAATAAAGAGGTAATATGCAAATTGACCCTCACTCCGCCACACCATCAAAAGATGGCTGCACCCACAGCGGAGGCAGGGTTCCTGTAACACAAGATGGCTGCATCCACAGTGGAGGTGGGGTTCCCATAGTGAGCCATAACCAGCGATCCACAGGGACCTGAGGCTACATGGCACCAGGCCGGGGTGGGGGACCTGAGGCTGTGCCCTCTACCCAGTGGGGCCAGAAGGGGGACCTCAGGCTCTGTCCCCCCCCCAGCAGAGCTTGATGGGGGACCACAGGCTGCATCCCCCACCCCAGGCTGGGGGACATGAGGCTGCACCCCCCCCCTACCTGGCAGGGCTTGACAGGGGACCTCAGGATGTGCCCCCCTTCCTGGCGCCGGGCCAGGGGACCTCAGGCAGCACCCCCTGCCCTGGTGTTGGGCCAGGGAACCTGAGGCTGCGCCCCCCACCCGGCAGGGCTTGATGGGGGCCCTGAGGCTGCGGTCCTGCCCAGCACCGGGCCGGGGGACCTGAGGCTGTGCCCCCTGCCCAGCAGGGCTTGACGGGGGTGGGGTCGGCCAGGTCTGGATCTCTCCCAATGGGGGTGGGGCCGGCCAGGTCTGAGTCTCGTGTGATTTTGAGGTGCACGTGGGTGGGCGGGGGCTTGACTCTGGGTCCCGTGGCATACCCCAGTCTCTGATAGGAGGGAGGTTTTCATATATATTTTGCTAATTTTCTTTCATCTGACACTTCTATTATAGAGAAAGGGCAAATAGCAATATTAAAATATTTCCTCTAATTAATTCCCTTTTAATGTGCATGAATTTCATGCACCAGGCCACTAATGTGTGTGTGTATGTGTGTGTATTAATTCTTGTGCTTGGGTATGAGTTGAAAATGTATATTCACACAAGAAGGTTTACAGCAGTTTTATTCATAATTGCCAAAATTTGGAAACAGCCAAGATATTTTTCAGTAGGTGAATAGATAAATTAACTGTTACATCCATAGAGTAAAATAAGCACTAAACAAGCACTAAAAAGAAACAAACTACCAAATTATGAGAAGACATGGAAGAATCTTAAATGCATGTTACCAAGCAAAGGAGGCCAATCTGAGAAGGTTATATATTGCCTGATTGTAACTGTATGACATTCTGGAAAAGGAATGGAGGTGGTGAAAGGAAGCATGGTTGTCAGGGGTTGGGGGGAAGGAGGGATAAGTAGGCAGAGCATGGAGGATTTTTAAGGAAGTGACACTATTCTGAATGATAGTATAATGGTGTCTACATGCCAGAATACCTTTGTCCAAACACATATACAATATAACACCAGAAGGTAACTCTAATGTAAATTGCGGGCTTTGGGTGATAATGACATGCTCTTCTGGTACAATCTTGGTTTTCTTGGAGAAAGAAATAACATGATAGAGGAATATTGGGAGAGCAGGGAAATGAGTAAGACATAGTGTTAGCTCTTGAAGAAACCGAAGCCTAATATTATGTCCTGGGCATACAGGGGACCCAGCTGGTGGGACAGGACGGGGTGGGGGTGGGGTGGATGTGAACACAAAGGAGCCAATTTCCTTCCAGTGGGACAAGTGAGCTGCCTCTAAGTGGACCGAGCAGCACCTGAGATGACACTTGAAGGAGAAATAAATACACTGCAAGGGCAGCCACTACAGAGGGTGGGGCATGCTTGTAGCTTCGTTTTTCATATTTCTAGCTCCTGAGATTTCTCACAATCATGGGTGTGGGGCAGAGGGAGTCAATGGGGGAGGAGAGGAGACACCTGTAATACTTTCAACAATAAAGATAAATAATTAAAAGAGAATGGACAGGAAGAGTAGCAAAGACAACACTGTCTGTGTCTGGCTACAGCTTTGGGTTTTGACTGTTATGTCAGACTGTGTTAAAAATCCTCACACTTATTTTTGTGTCAAAATAATGGAATTGCAGTGAAACAAGCTTCAATACCACCTTTCATTTATAAACTTGAATGTCACCATTCTGTTTAAGTAAAGTTTTCCATGTGAATGGTGAAAGTATTTCTTGAAACTTGTTAATATGTAAACCATTTAGATTTGAATTAAGAAGTACCTTGGTATGTTATCTCTGCCTATGAGCATTTGAAGAGACTATAAATTAAATCAAAATATAGTTTACTGGTAATTCCCAGCCTAATATATTTTCTTTCTCTTTCTTTTCAAGTACACACAAATTGGAAAGTACAGATTGTATGGCTCAATAGCCAAATCTCTGCAATTATTTTGAAGCAAAACAAGTATTTACTCTGCACCGTGTGGTTGTGGAAGGTTAACTTACTAGTATGTTGTGTTGTCCTCTGGGGTTAAGTGTCTTACTTCCTGCTCAAAATGTGTCAGCATCAGTGGTCCCCTTACTTTAGATATTCACAAATATTTCCTGAAAATACTTGTGCTATGGATTTGGCTTTAAAGTTAAAATCCTTGATGAGTAATTGTACTCCTGTAATAAGTAAACACCAAGTCACTTCCATGTGAAAAGTGAAAGAACTCAATGCTAGCCATGTTTTTTTAGAGATCAGAAGCCAGCTCTCGGGGCAGCACCACCTTTTCCGGACACTTCAGCAGACAATGAGTTTCTGGTTAAAGGGGCAGAAAGACCTTATTATATGTAATGATGAGTGGAAATAGGTTGGTATCAGGAAGTTTAGCTTGACCTGTAAATTCAGGTTTTCCAGAACACTGTGATCCCCATAGCTGCTTTCTCCCCCCACTTCCCACCCAAGATGGAAGTGCCTGAGTGGAATAGCAAACTATTTCCTTGAGAGATTAATCTCCCTGTCTTTGAGAAACACACTTTTCTGACTCAAAAATTCACTTTTTTCCCCAATAGCTGTTTTACTGTCAATTGGAACTTCATTTCTACTGTGTACAGGGAAAATGAACATGTTTTACTAAATGACTTGAAATTTCAGCTGACTTTTTTTTAATGAGTAAGCATCTGTTCTTTAATATTGCCCCCTTAAATGTGAGACTCAAATCTCTACATTACATTGTTGTATATCCAGTGTAATATAGGAAACCATTGATAAGAATACATTAAATGAGGCTGTTACTACAACAAGCTAAGTGTCACATCTTTATAAGTTACAAGAAAGAGATATTGTTAAGCTTTTAATAAGAACATTTTTTTTTCTTTTCTGTAAATCCACAGTGTCTACGACCTATAATATGGATTAACATTGCACAGTCAAAGGTGTTTTCATGCAAACATTGCACAGCCAAAGAGCAACATGACATTAAAAATACAGAGACGGGGCCTTTTTGCATACCCCAAATCATAAACTTAAATTTATACAATAGATATTCTCAACCAATGCCCTCCACAGAAGAAGCTGTCACTGAAGCACACTGCTCAGGTTCTGTAAGAATGAAAAAGTCTCTTATGCATGTGTTTAGCATCTCCTCTGTCCCCATTTAATATCTGCTAGACAAGTCACAAAGACTTCCGACAGGGTAGCAACAGATGATCTCCTTGAAGGTATTCCTCAGCTCTTGGCTCCGGAGTGCATAAATGAGCGGGTCAATGATGGAATTACACATGAGCAGTATGAGATATAAGTTAAAGTGAGACATGAAGCACGCACAGTATGGATTCTGGGGACAAGAGATGTAGAATATTAAGTGGAGGAAGAATGGCGCCCAGCAGACAACAAAGACCCCAATCAGTATGGTCAAGGTGATCGCCCCCTTCATGTTGGCACCTTGGCGGATGGTGCCGGTGCCCGGGAGGACAGCGATCCTCTTCATGTGAAGCCTGGCCATGAGGAACATGTGGACATAGAGGGAGGCCATGAGAGCCAGCATGGTGAGGAACACGCTGATGAGGCAGATGATGACCACGCTGCTGTCTGAGTAAATGATGAACAGAATGCCCGCCACCGTGCAGGCTGCCCAGATACAGCTCAGGATGATCCCCACCCGCTTAACCGTCATGATGTTATGGTACTGGAGAGCATAAAAGATAGTAAAGTACCTGTCCACTGCGATGGCAAGCAGGCTGCAAATGGATGCGAGCAAGGAGCTACAGATGACCGAGTCAATGACATTGTCAATGTTCATGGTGAAACTCTGCGCACCCGTGTCTGTGCCGTTCAGCAGGATGATGGCAATCGTTTCGGATCCGTTCGAGACACTCACCAGCATATCAGCCACAGCCAGGCTGCAGATGAAAAAGTACATGGGGGAATGCAGGTTCTTGTTCTTGGCGATGGCCACAATCACCAGGATATTCTCCAACAAGCTGATGGCGCCCAGAGTCACAAACACCTCAGGAGAGACGTAAAGTTGCTGGTGGCACCCTCCATCGGAGTAGTTTTTCCCCAGGGGCTCGCTGGCGTTGCTGTGCAGCCTGTGGGTGCTGAGGTTCCGGAAGTGGAGAGAGGCGTGCATTCTGTGGTGGTGAGTGGAATTCATCCTGGGTCAGTGGATTCAAATCCCCTCTCAACTGCTTCAGCTCCTGGGTCAGGTGGCCTCAGGGATTTTCTGCAGGTCTTTTTCTGTCCTTTATGAGGCTGAAAGTGGCATGCCCGTTGTGAAGAACTGTCACATGCTCCACAGCTTGAAATGGAAGTTTTAGCCTCTTTCAGGTACTGCTCTCATCCCTATCCCTGTCCCTTTAAAATCTTTGCCTTCAAAGTGCTTATTCTCAGTCAAAAGAGTCTGCTGTTTGCTTTTTGTTTTTTTGTTTTTTGGTTCTCACTTTCAGTTTAACTGTAGTCCTAGGCATCCAAGTCTTTTCAAAATGATTCTCCTAGGAGCTGCGGTGCCAATGGGAGACAGTGTGTGTGCACATGCCCACATCAGCTGCCTCTCAGAGGCTCCCACCAGCATTGCTCTGAGTGTTAGTAGCTGCTGCTGATTTTATGGTGTGTGGAGGGGAAAAAAATGTTCGGAGTGGCTCCTCCTCTGCTTTCGTTTGACCAATCCAAGTCCCGTGGAAGACAGATGCTGGTGATGCTCAGGGATACAAACTGCAGGCAGCTCTGAGTCAGATGCAGAAGCTGTGGGCTCGGGAAGCCGGCAGGATGTGAGAGAATAAATTTCCCTTTTTAAGTTTCAAGGAAAACAACTGGGTCCCTAGAGGACATTCTTTGATATCAGAACAAGCCACCTTGAGGCACCCAGGTTTATTCCTGCTTAAAAGAGAGAGACGTGTGTGTGTGTGTGTGTGTGTGTGTGTGTGTGTGTGTGTGTGTGTTTCTGAAATAGATACCCTGCTTTGTGACCAGGATATTGAATTTATTTTCCCTCTAAATTTCTTTGAATTAAGAACTCAGGCAGTAATGCTTCAATTTAAAATGCCAGAAACACAGAATATTTGAGAATACAGGAGACTGTGCTATGGATGGAAGAATGTATAGGTAGCTACAATTTATCAAAGGTTCAAGAAGGGGTTTATTTCTTATGCACTAATATCTGATATGTTTCCATCATAAAGTTTCTTTTATTATAGCTGGAAAAGTTTTATTTTCATTTACAATAGTTAAAAGCCATAGAGCATTAATGTAAACTATATTAACTCTAAACCTAGAAAGTTTATATAACTAGACAACACTCCATTTTTAAAGCTTTACTGAGTATAATTGATACACCAAATTTGTACATATGTATTGTATACATTTTAATGAGTTTGTACATGTGCATATATTCATGACACCATCATCACAATCAAGGTAGTAAGCATAGTCATCACCTCCAAAAATTTCCTTGTATTCTTTTTCATTTGTTTTGTGGCAATAACTATTACAGGCACAATACCGTGTTAACTATAGGCACCATGCTGTACAGCAGGTCTCTAGGACTAACTCATTTTTCATAACTGAAACTTTACACCCATTGGGCAACAATTTCTTCACAATGATTTTGGCAATGACTTGGATTTTACACCAAAATCAGAGGCAACAAAAGCAACAATAAACAAAGGGAATTATATCAACCTAAAAAGCTTCTTCACTAGGAAACAATCAACCTAGTGGAAAGGCAGCCTACAGAATGGGAGAAAATATTTGCAAACCATGTATCTCATCAGAGGTTAATATCCAGAATATGCAAGAGTCTCTTACAACTTAATAGCAAACACACACACAAATAAACCAATTTATAAATGGACAAAGGAACTTGAATACAGACACTCCTCCAAAGAAGACATGCAAATGACCACCAGCTATGTGAGAACGTGCAGATAAAAAAAGAAAAAGGAAGAGAGAGAGAGAGAGAGAGAGAGAGAGAGAGAGAGAGAGAGAGAGAAAGAGAGAGAGAGAGATGTTATAGAAAAATTAGAAAATTATTAAGGCAGCCATTCTACCTCCATAACTGAAGGCTTTGTAAATTAAATCCACACATAACTTGGCAACTTTACTTATTCAAACCAAGATGAGTGCATGCTAGGTATTTATCAGAGTTTCTAAATGCTTTGTTTAAGCTAAGTTTGAAAGATTGTGGAAAAGTTATTTTCAAATTAATTATACTTCAGGTTATGAAGTTTTACATAGTGTCTTTCCCTTGCTATGACTGTTTTTGGTTTTAGTTCTGTATTGTTTGTGGCTACTGATAACAGGGACAATAAGAGAAAACTATTTCCGGGTTAATTTTTAGTCCTCCATTATTTAGGGGAGGGCTTTCCCTTCTTTCCCTTTGTGACAAAGACAACATGAAATATTATTCCTGACCACTGAGCTAAGTTAACATCTTCCATCCATTCCTGGAACTGGGTGGGGCCTTATGACTGAAGTCTAGCTAATGGGTTGAAATAAATGATGGGCATTCTGTTCTCTCCTCATGATTCTACACATTTTCCCTCCTGGCTGCAGAATGTCTTTGCAGCCTCTGTTCTAGATGACAGAACCATATCATGGAAAGAGCCTGGGTCTCTGAACAACTCACATTCCCAAATCCCTCCGCACTCTAGTCCACCCACTAATGGAACTGTGATATGAACAAGCAATTAATGTTACTATTAAGCTGCTGAAATATTGGTGTTTACCTGTCACAGCAACTAGCATTAATTATCTTTACTTTTAAGCTTTTGAATGGAGCTACTTATAAGCAGAAAATCCAGGAAAATCCTTGTTTTCCCTGATTTTGGACTCGTGTGAGTAGTGAATTACCTAATAAGTAAGCAACCAGGAAGAAATCTATTGAAGTGTTTAAGTAACAGATAGTCAACTTTGTATAATCTCCCCGAGTCAAGAGACTTTGTCCTCCTCCTTCTCCGGGTGGCATCATTATCCCATTTGGTTAGGCTTAAAATTCAGAATATCCTTGACTTTTCCATCTCTCTCCAAAATACCTACATGCAATCTTTTATAAAACACCTTTGATTCTACCGGTGTGCCTGACTCCCCCTTTTCTCCTTGCTAGTCACTTCTCACTCTTCATTACAGTCAACTTGTGTGCTAGCTACATGCATTCACACTAGAGATTTTTCCATGGGTTTTTCTGTTATCTCTGCTTGGAATGCTCTTCCCTATGTTTATGAAAGCAAAATCAACCTTATTTTGTAAAATGTATTAATAGGTATACTATAAAGGGGAGGGCAGAAGTGGGTTTGTAGTTACTTGTATGGCTATGCAGGCTATGATTGTTACAATAGCTTTACTAACTCAAAAGAATATCACAATTGCCTAGTGCACTTAGATACAATCTTGTAAATGCTCAAGAAGGAGACAAATAATATAAATAAGTAAACGAGACAAACAAAAATAAATAAATATATAATAGTACAACAATAAAGTCTTTCAAGTTCTCACAACTATAAACCTACATTTGCCTACCCCTCTGTGTGTGTGCCTGTGTGTGTATAAAATGATATAATAGGTAAAATTAGTAATTTAAAACAAAACTCCCTTTCTTTTAGATTTCACAAAAAGGATTTTATTGATAGACATGATCACCCTGAAATCCCAGAGAAGCATATGCATTTAAAATCTCATGTTTACTTTTTTGTTGTAGATTTATAAAATTTTGGCTCTCTAGTTAATTATGCTGAAAAGATGACAGTTTTATTAACTCCAAGGAGGCATTTTAATTGTCTGTTATAGTTCAGTTCTCTATGAGCCAGAAGAAATGCAGCCAGCAATGTTAGACACATTAATGGTATTTTTAAAAATTTATTTCAGATTTTTTTAAATATACATAAAACTGAGTTAGATCATAATATAGTTCTCTGAACAAAATCCCTGTTTTACATTTTATAACAATAAATATGAAATATTACTAAAGAGAAGTATTTATCAAACTGTGCTACATGGAATATTATTTTTTTAGGATATGTTAATGTTATTTGCACCACAGATTAAAAATGGGGGGACATCTTTAATACTCTCAACAATAAAATAAATTTTTTTAAAAGGAGATTCCGAGGTCAAATAATTTCAAAAAGTATTGCAAACCCACTGTCTTCTTGAAGTTTCAGCATTTACATTAGCATATAAAGTTTCTGAAATTTTCACTAGAAAAAAATTCAACATTGCTTACTCACCTTATTTCCTAAACTTATTTGAACATAGAAGCTACCTTCTCCCATTTTTATTTCTCAAGTACAGAGTATTCTCAGTTCTGTGATAGTGCTCATTTAGAACATGGAATTGTGCTCCAAACTTGACTGGTATATGGGGGAACATTTTGAGTGTTACACAAATTTTGTGTTTGTTTCTGCACCGTTTCCTACAGGAGAAACAATGGGGAAAACTGCACCCAGCTGGACCAAAACACATGCGGCCCACAAAACATACACACACCAAACGTTTCCAGCTACCTCAGCTCACTGCATATGTTATGAAGCGCAACCCACCCCACTGTGGCAATGTCTCCTGAAATTTCAGATAATCCTCCCTCTACCACTTCATAAGAACTCACGGGCTGTAACCCTCTGAACTCACTTCCTCAGGCAAACTAAACACAGGTCTTTTTCTAGGTTAAGTGCCATGTTTGTTGTAGGTTTACATATTTTTAACTAGTAAATGGCATAAAATTGTTCTACTGTTCCTATCTTTCTTTTTTTTTTATCATGTCACCAATGAAGTTCATGGAAGCTGTGTTTCTAACCCCAGTTTTTACCGTAAGACCTATTTGTTGCATCGGATGACATTTGCACAGGACACTGATTTTCAAAATACATGTGTCACACTAGCAGAGCAACATGGTTTGGAATATACAGTTTGGGAAACATCCATGTAGAATAGTTATTCTGACTACAAAATCTTTACTTAAATACAAAGAGCCAAGGAAAGAGAGGTCTGCCTCTCTTTGAGCCAGTTTTATTTATTTATTTTTACATTTAATTTAATCCATCACTATTTATCCCCTCTTTGCCCTCCTCTATCTGCACTCCACCCCCCCCAACACGCCCCCAGCCCACAGTTGTAAATGATAAGCGGCCTCACTCTGGAGTCTGCTTTGCAGCGGTGATGACAACTGAGTGCAGGAAACCCAGGGAAAGTAAAATCTTAGCAAATTTTTGTCCAAGAAGTTGGATCATTACCTCTTCCTATCTGCTCTTTCTTTCTTAGGGAGTTTGGTTTCATACTGCTAAAAAAAGTCTATGTACCTACTAATAAATTGCTCCTAAGAGCCCATCTACCTGTTACACTTTGGACTATTTAGAAAAGTGAACCAAAGTACAACAGCAGGTCATGTAAACCTTTTAAGTGCCAACTTAGAGGTGATGTAAAGCTGAAAAGAGCAGTCTGTCTTAGAATAACTGTCATATCCAACAAATCTTATTAAAAATGGGGATTTAAAAATTGAG